TAGAGCTGGATCTGAAGAGCATGGTAGCTTTGTGAGAATTAACTGAGATTCCTGAAGTAGCATCATTTATATCTCTGTAGAAACCCTCTTGGTGTGGTTTTGCTATTTGGAAACTGAGTTCCCTGTTCCGAAACACAGATGAAAGAGACCCTATGATGGGTACATGGATAAACTTATCATTGACAGGAACTTATCTGTATGTGCCTGTTGTTCTATTTCTGCGTATTTCAAAATGAACACCAAGGAAATGCTATACTGGTTCTACTGTTGTCTGTTTCCTCAAAATGCTTCATCCTTTTAGATTCTGTGTTAAGACATGAGAATGGTTTTGAAGCTGATCAAAACAATCCTGAACTTTATTTAAGGTTTCTCTTGATGTGTCAGATGAACATTCAACAACAGCTTGTTTTGCATGGGCAAGGATATCATTAACCAGTTCCTCCATTGAACCAACTAAACAATGCACAGTACTTACAGGAACTCCTGAGGCCTGGACTTGTCCAAAACTAGTATTTGTTTTTTTCCACTGGGATATGTGTAGTGACTGTTACAGAAGGAGCTAGAGTCACTGGTTGTGAAACAGAGGTTCCAACATTAGCTCCAGGCTGAAACTCAAAATTGCTGGCAACATCTGAATCAGCACAGTCTCCACGTGCTCCAGATAAGTGCCGCTTGTAACCAGAGCATGTACAAAAAACAAATGATCATCCAGGCTCTCCACAGTTCAAAGTTCTATTTCGTATAGGCTTCGCCCTCTAAGGCTATTGCTACTGGGTTTACCCCTTCCGTGCACTGAAAATTTTAGTCTACGCCCACCCACAGCGTGGGCCTCTCCTACGTCCGCACCTTGTATATATACAACGGTAAGACCCAGCCTCCAGCTCCCTATTTTCTTCAGCACTGAGCTTGAAGTCTAAAGAGCTAGAAGAAAGAAGAAAAGAATCTACCTGCAGAATCGATGTCTTCCTACCTGCCGGTGAGAGCGCAGCTGCCGGGTCTGGCCAGACGGCTGCTCCTGTGGGCGTACACTCACCTGCTCTCCATCAGAGCAGAATACATCCCTGGCGTGCTGAACAGAGGGGCGGACGTTATGTCAAGGGGAGGCCCTCGGCAAGACGATTGGCGCCTCCATCACGATCTGGTGGACCAGATCTGGCTCCGGTTCGGCAGGTCAGAGATGGATCAGTTTGCCAACAAGGAGAACGCTCAGTGCGCCCTTTGGTTTTCTCTGAGCCCGCGGGACGTCCCCCGCTGGGAGTGGATGCCTTCGCTCACCCCCTTTGGCCTCCTGCTTTTCTGCCAGTGTGGTTGATCCAGTGCCTTCTGGATTGCCTGCAGTTTTCAACCTTGGCGGTGATTCTGGTGGCCCCGGAGCGCACCAGCGCATCCTGGTTCCCCTGTGGGGCAGCCGTGGAAACTCCCCTGGAGGGGGGACGTTCTCTCTCAGGAGTTACCCGTTCCTTGGCCAGCCTCTCTGGGTCTGGCCGCTGAAAGGCGACACCTGGAGGGCTTAGGTCTCTCCTGTGAGGTGGTTTGCACCATCCAAGGGTCGAGAGCTGCCTCCACTCAGTCCTCTTACTCTTCTAAGTGGTCGGCTTTCCAATGCTGGTGTCTGGACCAGGGGGCAGACCTGGTCACCTGTCTGCTGCCGGCGGTGCTTTCGTTCCTCCAGTTGCTCATGGACAGGGGGCTGGCGTTCAGTAGGGTTAAAACCTACACTGCCGCCATTTCGTCCTGTCACGAGGGCTTCATGGACAGGACTGTGTTCTCCCACCCCCTGGTGAAATGTTTACTTAGGGGGGTGCGGAGGTGGAGGCCTGTGATGCAGCCTGTTGCCCCACATTGGGATTTGGTGCTGGTTTTACGCGCATTAACCGTATGGACCAGTGAGGCGTTGACTCATCCTGCTTCGCCTCTAACCCAATAGTTTTAGAGGGCATAGCATATACGAAATAGAATGCGGGTTACGTACTGTAACCCAGATTCTATGAGTATAGGCATTTGGGAGCTGAAGGCTGGGTCTCACCGTTGTATAAATACAAGGTGCGGACGTAGGAGAGGCCCACGCTGTGGGTGGGCGTAGACTAAAGTTGTCAGTGCTGTGCAGGCGCGTGGAAGGGGTAACCCCAATAGCGATAACCTTAGAGTGCTGCGCCTATACTCATAGAGTCCGCCACCACCTTTTGTCTGTGCTGAAGTGTTGCATTCATCTTGTGTTTCACGAGGTTTATGTCAGTCGAGCGCCTCATCTCTAAAATAGCTTCCTTGCACTCATCACCTGTCAACTGCCTCACAATTGAACACATGTTGCGAGTAGTCTTAAGGCCATCTTGAAAAGTGGATTTCGATTTCTTGGTCTCTTCAGCAGAGTTTGGCTGGACTGCTTTCAACCCCCAATGCCAGGTAACCAGAGCCTCTGGTGGTCATAGAAATGTTCCTGTTGAAAAGAAAAATAAAAGGTTAATCTGTTACCTTTTTAAGAACGAATGATCCTGTCTAGCCCCATGGTGTATGTTAAATGCAATGCACTACAGCAATGAGTTAAATCATTACACAAATGTTACTTAAATAGTACAAGGTAGTAACAGTACCAACCATTTTATTTACAGTTTGCAGTTAGCAGAAGAGACATTTTTCTGTTATTCCACAACACTTTCTTCAATCAGGAGGGAGAACTCCACAAAGAGGCGGCCCTCTGCACGTTTATGGGGATCAAGTTAGCTGAAATGACTTACATATAGCTACTATGTTTTTTGGACAGTTGGGGTTATCAAGTTACTGTTCACACATTCTGTTACTTACACAAGCCAGTTTAGAGAAAATTGTGAACTGTTCTGTTTCATTTTTCTTTTTATAGCCGGAAACTGTTGGATTGAGTTCAGTTCAGTTGCATGGGCATCATCCAGCGCCATCTGATGCAAGAAATGACTGACTGATCCGAATCAGCCTCATTGGATGGCTCAGGAGGTAGACTGGGTTTCTCGTTAATCAGAAGATCTGGGTGAGTTGCCCTAGATGGCTGTTCCATTGGTGTATCAGTGTGTGTGAATGTTTGTTTCCGTTCAAGCTATGAATACGTGTGAATGTGACGTACTGTAAAAACGCTTTGAGTTGTCGAAAGACTAAAAAGACGCTATACAAATACAGACAACATAATAACATGTAGGGATGAAATGATTACCGGTTTAATGATAAACCATGGTAAAATTCCCGACAGTTATTGTTACGGTACACATTTTAATCACCAGCGGTTTCGGTTACCGTGCTATTATAAACGCACAGCAAATACTGTCCAGCATCAACTGAAGTAAGCGACAGTCTCACAGAAGCAGACGCTCAGTGTGAAACATAGGTTTGTTTGGGTCAGTGACAACATGCCGGAAGACGCGCTGCAGATATTTTCCAGTCACTCTGAAGTCTGGCTTTATTTTAGTTTTTATGAGCTGAGGGAAACTTGATTGGAGAAAATGACCTTATAATGAACACAGGGTGTGTTAACTTTTTTTAAAATACTTGAGTCAGAAACAAAGAACAACACAGTGCATCAACATTGTTGCTGGGCAGCATTGTAACATCTGCATTAGGCATATACATAATGTCATGCAACTTATAAAGCCTTATTTTAAAAGAATCACAAATTCTTTATTGATACCTGAGGGGAAATTCTTGGTCACAACTGCTAAGCTTGCATGTCAATTAAATATAAAAATTATAAAATCTAAATCTAAATAAAGGTAATGTGGACATGTAAAGTAATTTACAGCATCAACAGAAGTGTAATGATAAATAGTAGTAGTGCATTAAATATTAATAGTAATAATGAGTACCAGTATATTTCATTTGGAATGGATACAATCTTAAAAACAACATCGAGACAGAGTAACCAGAGTATTGAAGCAGAGAATATTGCATATTGAGTATTTTTCCCTGTGTCCTCTTTCTTCAGACTTCTCCAGGAGATGATCCTTGAAGAACACAGAGCTCTCCACCCTTCTGCTGGAGAGGCAGCCAGTCCTGGTCTTTGATGCCTTGATGATGCATCAGCGCAGACATGGTGCCCCACCTTCTGCCGAAGTGCCAGGAGTACCTTGGTGTACTTGTGGTAACTGTATGGAAATGCTGTGGCCAGGAGCAAGCAAACAGTGTGAGCCTACTGCCACAATTCTCCCAGTACTGCCTTGAAGAAGGCTTTATTCGCATTCACAGGCAGTACTGGGAGGACATTACGGCATTAGGCCACATCAGGGAGCCTGGGGATGACAACAGGGAGGACCGCAATGGTGCCTATAGACACTTCATCTATTGTCAACATGGAGCTTTAGGCCAGGGAAACCAACTTGTTGTTCCTAGTTGTGTTTGGAGGATTAGAGACAAGTTCCCCGATCCTCAAGGACACTACACGGTTTTTATTCCTGGACTGTGAATTTCCTTCCAGGCTCTCTGGCATGGTCATAAAGTTTCACACAAACCTGCCTCAGCCTCATCAAGGAATCAAACAAATGTACATAGTTAACATTTGATTTACTATTACATTTCTATATATATTTATTCATATTTCTCCCCTTTTTATTTAAATTTGATGTATGTTGTATAGTTATATTGTGTTATAGCTGTTCAACTGCAGTTCTATGGTATCGAAAAAATAAAAAGGTAAGAAATAGAAGCACATGGTGTTTTTATTCTCATTATATACATTTGAACATTAGAATTTCAAACTTTGCCATAACATTTCCAATACCAATTTTATTTATATTTACATAATAGGGGACAGCTGTAGCCTTACTTATCACTTATTACTGTTCAAATTGTAAACTGTAATTTAGGCTACCTACTGAAAATAATATGCGCTGGTCACAGTGTACTTAGCAGAATAAGATGAAACGTGTACAAATTGTCATCCATCAACTGCACATAGTTCAATAACCCTGATGTACAGAATAGTAACTTTATGGTTAATAATTGTTTCACAACATTAGCCAGTTATTACACTTACTGCTGCTATTTTTCTTCGCACCATGCCATATGTCCAGACTGTCATGAATTCCAAGGGCCTTGTATTTGCCTTTGTCTGGGTCTATGAAGTGGTAAATAATGTCATGTTGCTATAATATTTATATTGCTGTTATACACATGCATCCATACAATATATCACATGAATACTTACTCATAAGGGCACCAATCTGGGCATGAGCATCTGTGCAGATCTCCACTAGCTTTATTTCTGATGTAAGCTTGTCCAGTCTGGATGAAACTCCTTCTCCAAGACGACAGACTTCCATGATGTTTGCCACTTGTCTATGGTGGCAACATGAATGATCTCCTTGGTGTCATTCTCCATGGTGGTGTAGCTGCAGTATTGTGCACAGTGACCAGGAGAGTCATTTCTGCCATCTGTTGAAATTTTTAAAAATATAATTCAACAGAAAAACAGTTATTAGTTGTTTCCATACTGTCATTGCTTAGTGTATTCAATAGCTAGGTTACATAATACAGTATCAACTACACACCAAGGACAATAACATCTTTCCCTTGAAGGCCACAAAGAACCTCTGTCCTTCTCTCTTCCCAGAAGTCCTTTATTGTATTGATGCAATAAGTGTCCTGAATGGAGAAGAAAGTGTTCCTGTTCACCATCCCCATGTTCATGAATTTGAACAAGAGGGCAACCTTTGCGTAGTTGTTGCCAGACAACAAAATGTTGGTGGACAAGAAATCTCCAGCTTGCATCCCAAACTTCATCACAGGCTAGGAATTCCACCTCCACAAGCTGTGTCCATTATATCTAAAAGTCCCACAAAAGAAACATTTGCTTTTGTCATGTACAGCACTGGCTTTTGGTATAACATTTTTTTTAATACTAATTTAAAGTTGTGATATTCTGTGATTGTCTGGACTTACCCATTCAATAGTAGCTGCTGTGACCTTGGTGGTGATGTTGATCTCAAAGGGTGCAACAGAGTTGCACGGCGCACCAGTCCTCAGAAGGCCAGTGCATTTATCCACAGGCAGGATCAGAAATGTAGCCAGTTGTCTTAAGCAGTTCTCGTATACTATGGAGGGTATGACACCTATGATGTCATCTTCACAAAGGACATTCTATGGTTCTGGGAAAACAGGGTCATGATCACAGGGAGAAGGCTCATCAAGAGGGTCTTAATGTGCAGGCAAGGAAGTCCATTCTAATGAGGCACAAAAATCTGTAGTAAACAAATACCACAAAACAATTGCAAATTGAGACTGACAAATAACACACCGTATAGAAATTGGTGGAAGATCCTCTTCATCAGAGCTGAAACCATTCTGTCCATCATCTCTTTCAAGGGAGTAAGATGAAGCTTTATCTGCCCAATCAATTCTTTACATAATGACAACTTTCAGATAAAAATGAGTTCTCAAATAATATCAATGAAAAATAATACATGTATTTAGGAAGTACTACTTACACACTGTTCATTGGGTGATTGAAAACATTTTCCTCCAAGTCCTCCTCAACAATGCTCATGTCATGTAAGCTGCAAAAAACATATTACAAATATATATTATGAACATTTGGAGAAAAGCAATATAGGGCTAAAAGTTATGATGTGTACATGTTACCTTTGTTCAAGGCCCTGAATTTCTGTGGCTTCTGGAATGACATCAAGATGCTCATCTCTGTAAAGAATAACCGGAGCAAGTTGTGTAAATCCCACATATGCTCATTCAACAGTAGATATAGACCAAAAATAAAATAACACACTATTACACACTAATCATAAAGTTCATGTTTCTAATCAAAGCTATTAGGACAAAATTAATATATTGTATGCATGACTTACCGGTCTGTTCCACTAGAAGCACCAATGCTAGACAATGCTGTAGCTGGGACTTGCAAAGGTTTTCTCTCCAAGGGAGTCGATGTTGCAGGACCTGTCTCGTAGCTGGAGAAACAGCAGCAGCCTCAATAAATGAAGTGCTACATGACTGTAATACATTACTGTACTGTAATCCACAATGTGTTATATCTTGGTAGGGTTTGCTCATCTTGCCTAATAAATTGAACATCCCAAAAACTATCACATCTAGTGCAAGTATGATCACCGACAGACAACATGGAAAACGTAAGCCAAGAGTGTGTAAAAATGTCACTGTTTCTGTACCACAGTCCATTATAAACCACATCATGGGTAAGTTTACAAAGCCATAGTCAGGTGAGGATCAAGGGTGCTCTACAATATAATATAACACAAATAAGTACTGACAGCCATAATTTGAGCTTGTGGTAACCTTTGTATGCACCGTAGAAGCAATACAAACAAATACGTTGTTTCTAATAATAAGCATAAGCATAATTAGTCACTTGATAGGCACACAGTGTTGTTATCGTAATGCTGTTAGCAGTAAATATAAATGTTTTCCACCAGGGCAGTAAACATTTAGCTTGCTAATCTGAGCCACCATCCTCCATGCAATGTTACGGTTTTTTAGTTAATTGTAATCATCAGGTGATTGTCTCACAAACACAAGACACATTTTTCACACTGTTCACAAAACAAAGACGAAGCGCTGGAGAACAACCTTCGAAATAACAATCCAACTAACGTTACATATTTCTTCTAACAGGGTAGTAAAAGTTTAGCTGGCTAATATGAGCTGTTATGCTGTAGGCTAACTTACTGTTTTGCGGTCAATAATACTAATTAGCTGATTGTCTCACGAACGTAACCAGCACATTTATCCCCACATAGCGAAGCCATAACACAGCGAGGGAGAAGAACCACATTAAACTATGGCTAGCTTCTGGCTAATGCTAACATCATCAAACAACAGTTTGCAATTTGCAATGCTAAAGTTGGAATAGCTTACCTGTCCATAAGAAAACTGGCAACTTCAGGGTCGCTTTGAAAATTTTTTTCCCTCATTAGACCCTTCTATCTGGGAAAAGCCACACCGATGTTTACCCGTGATTTCTGCCTGCGTCGCTCCCGTATAAGTCTGGCTTCATCATGCTTTCGCTTCATCGAAGCAGATACACACTCCGTCGGCTCTTGTGCTAAATAATAGCTGTGGTCCTCCATTTGTCCAAAATTCCACTACTAATAAAGGAGAGCTTCTACTACTACCTAGTAGTTAGAAACGTACAACTTCTTCTTGCACTTTTATTTATTTATTCTTTTGTTCATTCATTCATTCTTTCTTGCATTTATTTCCCCATTTATTTATTTATTCTTTCATTCAGTTCTGTCACTTTGGATGTTCCATATGTGCTACCCATCTAAGTCTTTTCATCTGGGTCCAAAAATGTCATTGCTTTGCCACATCAAACCACTTATGCAAGGTGATTGAAACAAAGGGGCTCAATTGGTCCTGTTAAGCCATCACTATTTTATGATCTCCGATCATTGCCTGTATTGGGATGTTTTTATGTTTTCTCTCCATCTGGCCTCATATGCATTGTCACACTAGAGAACTATAGTTTTTAATTGGGCCGAAATGTAATAGTCTTTAAGAGTAGGGAGAGACATACCACCACCCTCCTTACTGGTAGTTAACGTACTATATCTAATCCTTGGCTTTTGTTCCAAATAAATTGTGAGATTTTCTTGTCCCATTCATGAAATTTACTAATTGGGATTTTAAATAGTAATGACATAAACAAAAACAGCAAGTCTAGGTATAATGGACATTTTTATAATGTCAATTCTTGCATTAAAACTCAACAGGAATATTGATCAATAATTCATATCCTTTCTAATTTTGATGTTCACAATTTCATAGTTTTTTTTATACAAATCATTAGGGCAATGTGTTAACCTAACACCCAGGTATTTGATTACTTTTTGAGAGCAGTCGATGGGGATTCTTTGTTTAAGCTCAAACGAGGGGATGTAGTTTAAAGTTAATATTTGTATTTTTTGTATATTGAGATTACAGCCTGAATATGTGCCAAATAAGTCATGAAAATCTAAAAGGGTAGGGAGGCAAACATCTGGGTAATAGACATACAGCAAAACATCATCAATGTATAAAGTCACTTTGTGTTCCCAGTTATTGATCACTATTCCCTGTATTTACAGTCCTGTCTTATTGCTTGAGCCAATGGTTCTATGTAGAGTGCAAAAAGGGTTGGTGAAAGGGGGCATCCTTGACGAGTGGATCTTTCCAGTTTTATACAGTCAGTAAGACGGCCATTTATCCTAATTCTTGCAGTGGGGGCATAGTATAATGTTTTAATACTGTTAACTCATTTTTCAGTAAAGCCAAACCGCTTCAAGACTAAAAACAAATATTCCCAACTAACGCAGTCAAAGGCTTTTTCAGTGTCAAGACTGACTAGGGCGGCTGTACTTTTTGTTTTTCTAATGTTCTGTATCATATGGAGAGAGTATCTAATATTATCTTGTGTCTGATGGCCCCGAACAAAACCGGTTCGGTCACTTTCAATTAGTTCAGGAATATAAGAATCTAGTCTCTTGGACATGATGGAAGCATACAGTTTGTAATCCTGATTTAGAACTGAGATTGGTCTATATGAGCTGCATAAAATTTTATCCTTGCCTTCTTTTGGAATGACTGAAATGATAGCTTCACTCCAAAAAGGTGGATATGCTCTTTTCTCAAGTGTCCAATTAATATGTGTTAATATTTTTTAATTTATTCAGTACACCTTCCAATTCGTTGCTCGTAATCTTTGAGATTAGACATTCATTTTGACGTTCCCCGATTGATGGGAGATCTACAAATGCTTTTATATTCTCCCTACATTCCTGTTTGGGTTGTGAACAGAGGGCCTTGTAATATTTTTGAAATTCAATTTCAATTTTGTCTAAATTATACTTATACTGTCTTGTTTTGAGATCCAGTATTCTGATTGTGAGAACTGTTTTTCGCATATTTTCCTTGTAATAATTTTGTAGCTTTAGGACCCACTTCATAGTACGATTGTTTTAGAAATTTATATTTATTGTCTAATTCTTCTTTATAAATGTCTATAATCTGTTTCTAGTTTCTTTAATTTTAATTATCAGTTCAGAACATTGATTCTTACTGTGTTGTTTCTTTAATTCCTTTAGTTTTTTTTCAAGGTGTTTAAGGTTATTTTCTTTAGTTTTTTTAATTGCTGTGCTGAGTGATATCAGTTTACCTTTAATAACTGCTTTCAAAGTGTCCGATAGTATATTTGCATTCACTTCTCCATCGTCGTTGAGGCCAAGAAAAGTCTTAATTTCAGCACAAACTTGTTGCACGACTGCTTTATTATTAAGCAGACTTGTTTTAAGCCTTTCTTTAGCCTGCTATGCAAATGTAATGTCAAGTAGACTGGTGAGTGATCTGAAACATCTCTGGTTCTGATATTGCAATACAGGATCCTTTATCTGTCATTCTGAAACATAAAGAAATAGTCTATTCTCGAACAGACTGTGTGAGGGGCAGAGTACAAAGTATTACATCACGTTTTCATTTAGCTGACGCTTTTATCCAAAGCAACTTACAACTGCTATACATGTCAGAGGTCGCACGCCACGGGAGCAACGAGGGGTTAAGTGTCTTGCTCAGGTACACAATGGTGAATGGGTCACAGTGAACCCGGGTCTCTCACACCAAAGGCGTTTGTCTTATCCATTGCGCCATCACCACCCAGATGTAATGTAATGTAATAACATTTATCAGGTGGGTGCAAGTCCCTCCAGACGTCCAGTAAGCCCATTTCATCCAAACCCTTTCTTACTAATTTAGTCTGAGGAGTTACAGTCCTCTTAT